CAACTTTTTAGTTTTCCACCGTAGCAAAAATTATAGAAAATTATACACGAAAGTACGTACAAATATTTATATATTACTAAAATTGTGCGAACTAAGAAGCACCCAAATACCTGCAGACAAAAAGATGCGCTTCAAATAACAGTGTAAAAATATACATCTGATGGTGTGTCTCGACAAAGGAAACTTACCACTTGCCAATAATATCTTTAGATACCTAGAACTTCCTTTAATATGCAAAGCTTAGCGACAAAGATTGCAAACCACTTGTAGAAAGGATAACCCTAAGAATGTCAAGTAATTCCGTGGATTCTTGCTTGCTCCTTTAAATGCCTCCATAGATTGGTACCGAGAGCCAGCTTCATTTGGATTGTTTGGGTGCGGCTTTATCTGTTAAAGGACCAAAGTATTTGGTCCGTTGAACCTAACGGTGGTTCTACTTACATTTGGTGGAAGCTTTTGAACGTGAGCAGTATACTTAAGCCTCATGTCAAACATATCGTTGAGAGCTGCAAATCTACTTCCTTACGGTTTGACAATGGGCATCCTGGAGTGCCGCTAGAAAGTTTATTCTTCAAGAGCTGTGTAATAAATGCCGCCTATGTTAAAAGTCTCAGACGTTATTTATGGTGATAAATGGCAATGGCCTCCTGCTAGATCTGATTTTTTTGTTGAAATCTAAGCAAGGCTGTGTGATTCAATCGTGCCATGCTCAAATGCCATTTGCTGATGCTTGGGAATCAGTGAGAAAAAGGAGGTCCAGGTTGCTATGCCATAAACTTATTTGGTTTGATCCTAATGTTCCTAAGTTTGGGTTAATACCCTGAACAAGCTGCTCAGTATTGATAGCCGATATTGTCGTACAAGCTACACTTGTTATTTATGTGATGCTTATTTTTTAGTCTAGATGTCACCTTACCATTGAGTGCTCTTTCTATAAGACGAGAGACAGCTTCGGGACTCGTCCTTTCTCTGCGATGCTGACAGGGCTATTGGATGTGGGGATACTGAATTTCAGTGGGCTTTTCATTACCGCAAAAGGAGAACATTTTCGAAAACTCTTTTAAAGCTGTGCTTGGAATAGGGCTATCTACTTTATTTAGACCAAAGGAAACATTATGCTTCGTGATGGTCCTTCCCCTTCTACTAATCGAGTGATTAGTTTTTATCATGGTTGCTGTTAGAACCCGAAGGTAACATTTTATGATCAAGCATAAGCTGATATTATCCACTGAACACCAGAGATTGTGCAGCCATTGGGGCATTCCCTGTGCTGCTGCTACTGTCTAAGCTGCAGCAAGATGGTTGGTGGGCTTGAGTGATTGTGCTGGATGGAGTGCGACCTTTGTAAGTGGACGATGATTCCGATTTGTCTGCCAACTGGATTATTGAAAAGTCGTGGTTTTGCTTCACCAACACATTATGTCATACTTTTTCTGGTCGTCTTTTGGAAAAAAGAAAAGTAAGATAAAAAGGAAAAGGGAAAAAGATGACACATCAAATCGAAGGACAACGATATGATCCACCTGTGTTGGATTTCAAGCTCTAAGCTTTCACAAACATTAACGAAAGCTTGTTTGTTTAATTAAATTAATCTTAATTTGAAATCAATTTTATAATTTTCGGTCTGAAACATGTAAAATTTTCACAAACATAATTTATATATATTTTTTCAATATATTTTGTATTTAAATAATATTTTAAATTTTAACAGAAAAGTAAACAATTGTTTTTGCATTTTAGAAAACACAAATAAATGAGTGTTAAAAAAAATCAGCTATTATGTGTTATTTATGAAACCAAAACTCTCTCTACACAAACGTACTACATATCTATCTAGGTAGAGTGCAGTTTAATGGTGGAGTTCCATTATCACAAAAGTCCATCCTTTCTTACCTTTTTAAAATTAATTAGACATGTTACGTTAAAATAAAATAGAATAAAACTCAATCATCTCATTTGATATAGGGAAAAAGCCATTAAAAACTCTAAATTATGCACATCATAACACATTTATCATAAACTTTTTTTGTAACACTAAAAATCTCAAACTTGTACCTATGTAACACATTTGCCCTCCATCGAGGTTGTGTTAATGAACACCATTAAAAATTTGACCACATGGACGACAGAAGATAAACGATGTTGACATGGTCAACGTGGATTGAGTGAAATAAAAACGTTGGAAAATCATCTAATGCAATCTTGATAGAGAGTAAATGTACCATACGGGTACAAAATTAAGGTTTTTTATGTTACTAGAAAACGTTTAGAATAAATATATCATAGGAAGCATAATTTATAATTTTTCATGTTACAGAAAAAAGTTCAGGTTTAGAGTTTTTGGTAATTTTTGTTTTCCTTATTTCTAGAGCGATATATGAATATCAACTTGCCTTACATATTAAGTAGATGCAATTTATCTTGCTTACACGCACAGGGAGCATTGATGAAGTGGGGTGCTTTGCTATTAGTATTTATCATTTAAATACTTTATATTATTTATTATTACCATGCACTTATATAATCTTTAAGTTTTTTTTGCAATGAATAAGGTGATTGGCCATTAATGAGGACACAACTAATAAGTCAACAATTGATTATTAATTTCTAGAGTTTCAAAAGCGCATGGTCTCGCAGAAGAGTGGGGGAGAAGACATACGTGGCAAAAAGAAAAAGAAAAACAAAAGAACAAAGTCATGATTAATAGTTAACCACGGTCGAGTTAAGTTGCTTTCTGGCCAGTTGTCCTATACAACTTCAGAATCTCCAGAAGAGTGCGATCGCGGCCCCAACTGAAATAAGCTTTTACTCTCTGCTTTCTGTTTTGCTTTTGCTCCACCGAATGCGTGATCTTACCCTTTTTATGGTTTCCCTTGGAAAAAAAAGGAGAAAGTCAAGTAAAAAAAGGATAAAGGGCAAAAAGGACACGACAATGGCGCCACCGGCAGAGAATTTTAAGCTTTGCGTTCTCACAAGCCTCAACAAAATATCTGAAGGCTGTGTTGGTAGATTTATATATACATATATATACACATATATGTTTTTAATCTAATCTTGTCTTGAACAAGTTTTAACGTTTATTTGGCTTCAAACAAATGAAATTTTCACAACACATAATTCTTCAAAACCCTTTAATATTTTAAAATTTAATTTTTGTATCTTAAAAAGCATAAATAAATAAGTCCTAAGAAAAATCAGCTAATTCTGATAATTATGATTACCTTCTTTCGTTCTATTTTATTGTGTGTCATGTGAAACCAAACTACACACACACACACACACATATATATATATATATATATCTCTATGAATAATGAGAAAGTAAGATAAAATGGAGCTTAATGGTTAGGCTATATCATTATAAAACTTCATTCCTTCCCACTTTCTTTAACATCAATTAGACATATTGCTTTAAAATAAAGCAGAAACAACATAATCATCGCATTTAATCTAAGATAATGCTTTTAGAACAATACATCAACATCAACATCAACTTACCTTATTTATTAAATCGGATGTAATCTTTCATAAATATACATAAGTTTTGCAATTGTCATTTGTCATTTAAATATTTTTATTATATACTATTATTGTGCACTCATATAATCTTTTAAGAGAGGGGGGTTGGTTTACAATAAATGAGGTGGGTGCCTATATTAAGTTTTATATAATAAATGAGATGGTGAGCCTATAATGAGCGTTAATTGACTGATTTATATTTGATTTTTAATATCTAGAGTTTCAAAAGCATCCGGTCTCTCTATCTCTAAATGCAAAGGAGGAAGGAGATAGACGATCAAGAAAAAAAAAATGAAAAGGAAAAAGAGGTGTTAATAGGGGACCATGGTGGAGTTAAGTTGCTTTCTGGCCATGTCAGTCACGTGGTAGTACGACTTCATACACGTGGACCCCACCGAACTTGTCCCATCTGTCTTTGTACACGCCGTCCATTCCAAATTCGCCACGCGGCCAACAAAATCTCCACCCATATCGGGCCTCGGCCCCACCTTGAAGATACTTTTACAAAGGACTTTGTATAATGCTTGTAGCGTGCAACTTTTTCGGTTTTATTTATTTATTCGAGTAGTTGATATACGCAATACCGTTTCTTTCTTTTACTTAGATGCATGTGAAAAGCGAGGGCATGTGTTTAACAGGAGCATGCTACCTTTTCACTTTTCCACCATAACAAAAATTATAAAAAATGCAGAGGCGAGGTTGGTTTTGCGGGAACTAGTGAATCACCTTCACCACCCGCTTGTTGACCGGTTGCTCGGGACTTTTCCTTGAACCTTCCTATGACTCTCTTGTTTCCGTAAAGCAAAAACGACGACACATAGGGTCAAAAGGCATGAAAAGAAGAAGTGCATCAGAGAGACACCATACGTGGATGAACAACAACACCATCATAATTGAAGTGATTGTCGTGAAACATATTGTCGGTAAAGGGAAAAGGAGAACTACATCTTTCTCGAAGAGTTGGAAAGAAGAGTTACTTCTCCTACCACATCTTCTATGAAATATAATGCCTACAAGTCTTTTACATTTAACTTTTAATATATAGTATGTAAAATCTCAATTCTAATATCATCTAATATAAATAATATTATGTTTGATAATAGACGCGATATTAAATGATTTCAATTGACCAAATATTTTGTATGATTGGCTTTTCATTTCATATAAGGGGCTATCTAATTTATTTAGACCAATGAACTCTGCGCTTCATGATGGTCCTTACCTTTCGCTAATCAAAGGATTAGCTTTATAATGTTTGTTGTTAGAACTCATGTGTAACATTTTTATTAAGGGTGAGCAACCGGGTCGGTTCAATCTGGAACCGAACTGAACTTGCCCAACTCTACACTTGTTCACACGAGAACCGGTCAACTCTCATGTAAAAATTCTGGGAACCAGCCTTAGGAAGAACTGGTTTGAAACAGTTTAGAACGATGCTAAATCTTTTATATATAAGACCCTTGCTACTTTCTTTTGGTTCTCACTCTCATTGCTAGCCTCTCTCATAGACTCTCTAGTCTCTTGACTTTCCCCAGCAGTGCCCTCGATTTCTCTCTTTCTGGAGTCTTGCCGACGCCGTCTCATCTCATTTCTCTCTCTTGGTCTTGCCGACGCCGTCTCCTGTCCTCCTCTCTTGATCTCGCCGGTTGTGGCCTCGCCTTTGTTGGTTAGCCGTCGATCAGCCCACTATTAGCCAGGTTCGTTCTTTCTCATAGCAAATAATCAGAGAGCTTTCTGAAGATGAATAGCCTGATGAAACAAAGATGCTTAGGGAAACTATCAACGTCTTTTATTTGGATTTAGAGATCTGACTTATATGGTGAAACATGGCCCTCAAGATCTACATATTTAGGCTATTTAGCCTTTTCCAAATTAGGCACATAAAAACATATAACATGTCCCGATTTCCAAAAATTCTAAATAGAGTTCAAAAGGGTAGATTAGCCAACTTCAAGAGCTGTTTTACCTTTCTACGTATGAAAATTTAAAGTTGAAAGACATCCTCATTAGCTTGCATTTATTAGCCCCCCCGCACATTTGTACTTCAGTATAGTACCAAAATATAATTTCTTTTTTGCACAGAAAAGGTTTCATACTTCTTCATTCACGATGATACTTCATAATCTTTTTCTTTCTTTTTTATTCGGGCAAAAGCAGAGATTCATGAAGATAAATTTTCTTTACAACTTGAAGTTAGATGTTGAAGTTGCCCAGACAGCTATAATAATTTTCCATCCTTTTCAAGATTCAAATCTTATCACACTTAATACTCGATGTCTCTGGTAAACAAGTTGGGCATACACGTGAACGTGCACTGTCTTCTATGGAAAGCTTGTATTGAAACTAGGAAAATGGGCATCATCAGAAAAAAGCTAGGCTTTGTTCTTTAGATCCCTTCTGGCGAAATTTTTATTTGCATCTGCTGAGAAAAATAAACTTTAATTTTCATTTTCTGGACCACGTGGGAGGGTTAACTATTGTTTGCCAATACTTAACATTTTTCTGTTAAACAGGGTCGGCAGTAATTATTTTTTTAATGCAAAAACTTACTCATTCCGTGAATAAGCTACAGACCACATGTTATATAAGATTTACTACTACATCGCAGAAACCATCAGTTTTGTTCAAACTTGTCTTTATATATATATGGGACGATAAGAATCAACCTAGAAAGGTTACCTTTTATATAAAACGTTAGCAATCATGAAAACAGGTCAGTACTTTTTCATTAGCCGAAAGTCGAATTTCTTGTAGAAAGTTACTGATCACATGAAATTTATTAGTTACATACTTACAAGTCACATAATTTCTTTTGGAAATCCTAGTGGAACAAGGAGGAATTAGAAAGAAATGAAACGACATAAAATTAACTTGGCATCCATAAATGTTGAACATGCAACTAATGTGGAAGGGGGAGTTATGAGATCCAACTGCTAATCATTATTAGGTCTGAATAGATGTGCAACTCCATGCTGTAGCAGAACTCGAGCCATTAGATTGGACGAGCAAGGTAATAGTGGTGGTCGATCATGGGTTAACGAACGCCACCGAAGGTTTGGGCGGTAGTGGGCATCGATGGAGGAGCTTTGGCCGAGCGATGACGAGATGGAGGATGATAAACAGTTGTGAAGAAAAGAAAAAAGAAAGAAAAGAAGAACAGACATAAAAATAAATAAGTAAAAAGACGGCGTTGTCTTGTCCATGTTAGATCGCCAACCATAACATGTAGGATGGCCAACGATGAGTTGATCGCCACAGCACCAATTGCAGGCGATAATTAGTATGAAGGATTATATTGAAATTTCACATAAATATTTATGACTATACTAATAAAATTGAAAATGTAAGACTCGTTGGAATCCGTAAAAATGATTTATGCCTAAATTTCGTAATTTTCCCTAGAAGTGTCTAGCCTTCGAATTGACTGGATGAATATCTTCTGATGCACAGAGAAGACAAACAAAGAGAAAGAGAACAAAAATGGCGGAAGCTGTCATCGTCAGCATTGCTGGAGAGATCATTGCTAATCTGGTTACTCAATCACTAGATAAGGTTGGAAAGTTATGGGGCGTCAAGCATGAACTCGAGGTGCTCGAGGACACTGTCTCCACGCTTCGGGCCGTATTGGACGATGCAGAGGAGCAATCCCACCAAAGTCACCAAATCCGAGATTGGCTTGAGAAATTGAAAGAAACATTCTATGATGCGCAAGATGTGCTTGAAGAATTCAATATAGAAGCTACACGACGAGAATTGAGGGGCCACAACACAATGATCAAGGAGGTAAAGGCATTTTTCTCAAGTTCAAACCAGCTTGCTTTTAAACTGAAGATGAGTTACAAAATAAGAGCAGTGAGGGAGAGAATAGAAGCCGCCTTTAATCAAGGTAGGAGATTCCAGTTGGCCCAGCGCCCCGTGGATTTGCGAGTAGAGAGAGAGTCGCGGAAGAGAGAGACACATTCGTTTATACGCAAGGGAGATATTAGAGGGAGAGATGATGATAAGAAGACGATCATAGAATTCTTATTGGATTCAAACGTGAATGAGAATGTTTCCATCCTTCCGATAGTTGGCATTGGTGGGCTTGGAAAAACGGCACTTGCACAATGTGTGTATAATGATGAGATGATTAGTAAACATTTTAAGTTGAAAATGTGGGTTTGTGTCTCTGATGACTTTGACATCACAAAAATAGTGAAAAATATGATAGCTTGTGCAAAGAAGAAAGAACCAACCGAGGTTGCGATGGAACGGTTGCAAAGTGAACTGAGGGGAGAGATTGATGGGAAGAGATACCTCTTAGTTTTAGATGATTTGTGGAATGTTGACAGAGAAACATGGCTGAGCTTGAAAACTTTATTGTTGGGAGGTGCTAGAGGAAGCAAGATCCTTATAACTACACGCCTTCCTTTGGTTGCAAAGATCACCGGCACTGCTCTGTCTCATCGTCTCGAGGGCTTAGATGAAAGTGCATCTCTTGAATTACTAATGCAAATGGCTTGTTGTAGAGAAGAAGAGATACGAGATCCTGACATGCTAGCTATTGGTAAAGATATAGTTAGAAAGTGCTCCGGGGTTCCACTGGCTGTTCGAACTATTGGGAGTTTACTCTTTACGAAAAGTAAGCACGAATGGTCGCAATTCAAAGAAAGAAAGCTCCCAGATGTGTGTCAAAGGGAAGACGGCATAATATCAATTCTTAAGCTTAGTTATGACCATCTTCCTTCATATTTGAAACAATGTTTCACGTTTTGTTCATTATTTCCCAAAGATTATGAGATAAAGAAGCAGACTTTGGTCGATCTTTGGATGGCAGAAGGATTTATCCAGCAATCAAATAGAAGTCAGCATTTAGAAGACATTGCTTGTGAATATTTCGAGGATCTACTATGGAGTAACTTCTTTCAAGATTATCGGGAAGATGAGGAGACTTGCAAGATGCATGATTTGATGCATGATCTAGCCTGCTCAGTTGCACGGACCGAGTGTTGGGTGGCATGGGATAACACAAAATTCATACACGAAAGAACTCGTCATTTATCTCATCGTTTAAATTCCAATTTGAAGGGTGAACTTCCAATCTCACGCTTGAAAGCAAGTCCCCTGAGAACATTTCTGCGTGTCGCTAGATATGGGGAAATTGGATCAAGAGGACCAACAAGTGAAGTAGATTTGTGCCAACTCATTCAAAGTTTCAAGAGGTTGTGCGTCTTGGATCTGCATACATATTTAGAGAAGGTGCCAAGGTCCATTTGTAAGTTGAAGTATCTCACATATCTTGATCTCTCTAGTAATCGTAAACTAAAAAGGCTTCCTAACTCCATTACGAAATTGCAGAGTTTGCAAACACTTAATCTCAACGGTTGTCATGCCCTTGAAGAATTGCCGAAGGGTATAAGGAACTTAATCAGCCTTCGAAATCTATACATAGATGATTGTGAGGAACTTAGTTATGTGCCACGCGGACTAGGGCAATTGAGTTCTCTGCATAGGCTAACACGCTTCATTTTGCCCAAAGATAAAGCTCTTGCTAAGGATTGTTGCGAACTTGGGGAGCTAAATGGGCTTAATGACATCCGGGGAAGCCTTAGCATTGAGAATTTGGGAGGCGTGACAGATGCAGTAGCAGAATCCAAGGCTGCGAACTTGATAGGAAAGCATTCTCTGGAATTTTTGAAACTTGAATGGGGCGATTTTGATATTGATGATGCAGTAATTGGGAATAGAGATGAAGCGCTATTAGATGGACTGAGGCCGCACTCAATTCTGCAGAAGTTGACGATCTATGGATATAAAGGTGAGAGCTTTCCAAAGTGGATGATGGACAATCTTGTGTCTTCCTTGCCAAATTTAGTTGAGGTATGCTTCTACAATTGTGGAAGATGTAAACATCTCCCTCCAGTGGGCCAACTACTTCACCTTAAGACTTTAGAGTTTTTGGAGCTGACTAAATTGGAATACATCGAGTCGGACCATTCATCCACTTCAGGGGCATCATTTCCTAGTCTATTGAAATTAGATATCGATAGTTGTGAAAAATTGAAAGCTGTCCCACCAACTCCGCATCTTGAGGAGTTAACGCTGACTAGTGCCCACCCAGCGTTGATAAATATGATAAATGGCCTTAATAAGTTGAAGCATCTGGAAATCTCGGAGATGGAGTTTTTAGAATGTGTGCCCGAGAAGTGCTGGAAAAGTCTCACCTCCCTTGAAAAGCTTTACGTAACGATGTGTCCTCGGTTAACTTCCCTCTCATCAACACCCCCACCACCACTGGGTACGCGACATCAATCCAACCTGGTGGATCTCGATTCTTCGGATTCTGAGGAGCTGCATTTATCCAAATCCGACCAAAGCAGCGGCGGCAACAACAACAACCTCATCTTGGATTTCCATGGAGGACTCCATCAGAGTCTTCGGTCCCTGTGGATCCGCGGCCTTCCCAAACTAGCATCTCTCCCACAGTGGCTTCTACAGGCCAGCAATCTCGAGTATCTATTTATCGCTTTTTGTGCTGAGCTGGATATATGCAAAGACGAGAGCGGCAACATCATCTTGGATTTCCATGGAGGACTTCAAAGTCTCCGGTTCGTGAATCTCCTTAGTCTTCCAAAACTAGCATCTCTCCCACAATGGCTTCTACATGCCAGCAATCTCGAGCATCTATATATCGATAGTTGTGATGAGCTGGATATATGCAAAGACGAGAGCGGCAACCTCATCTTGGATTTCCATGGAGGACTTCATCACAGTCTCCGCTCCGTGATAATCCATGGACTTCCAAAACTAGCATCTCTCCCGCAGTGGCTTCTACAGGCCCGCAATCTCGAGCGTCTCCTAATTGAGGATTGCTCCAATTTGAAGGAAATACCAGAGCAGATCGAGGCCCTTCAATCACTTCGAGAGCTCCGAATCTGGTCTTGCCCCTTGCTGACGTCATTACCCGAAGGAATGCGAAGGCTCGCATCCCTTACTTAGCTGGGCATCTACGGTTGCCCAGAATTGGAGAGGAGGTGCAAGAGAGATGCGGGAGAGGATTGGGACAAGATCGCTCATATCCCGCAGTGGCTTCTACAGCTCGGCAATCTCGAGCATATCTCTATTTCGAATTGCTTCAATTTGAAGGAATTACCAGAGCAGATCGAGGCCCTTCGATCACTTCAACGGCTTGAAATCTACTATTGCCCCTCGCTGACGTCATTAGCCGAAGGGATGCGAAGGCTTGCGTCCCTTGCCGACCTAGACATCTACTATTGATTATGAAGGTATGTATAATGTAGGGACCTCCTTTTTTTTTCCCCAGATTTTTTCATGAATAATGAATTTTCGAATATGGTGTTTCGATGCTTGATTCGATTTTTGGGGGACATGTTAACCCTAAGGGAAAACAGAGAGAGAGAGAGAGGGTCGACGACCGGTCGCGTTCTGGTCTTCAGAGAATCGAAGATTGCATGGGACCTTTTTTTTTCCCCAGTTTTTTTACATGAATAATTATGAAGGTGTTTCACATACTTGCTTCAATTTTTGGGGGATACGATTACGGACAGATCGGTGAAAGGTTTGGGCATATCCCATTGGATGCTTGATTTGATTGGGGATTAGGGTGTGTGCGAACAAAGAAAAATCCGTGCCCCTTCTCGTCCAGCTCCGAGCTTGTTGAATCTGGCTCGTGACTCATGTCGCAGATATGGTGCGCAATTTGCTCATTCGTATTCCGCAAGGAGCGAACTTGCCTGCACGGTCCGACGATTCCAGGAGGACTCTCATGCATGAAGTGATGAATTGTTCCTATGGAGGATGGCTTCTGGTTTTGCTTCCCTTTAAAAAATAATCCTTTTGTCCGCGATGTGTCCCCTATGGAATTGGAGGTTCCGGCATAGATTTGCCCAGCGAATCAAGGGTATGAACGGCGACGATAGATTATGCGGCGTTTTTCCTTTTCACATGCTGCTACTGATCTATTGATTCCTGAAATCAGGTGATCCCTAGACATGTTGAGCACCCATCTGAACTTCCAAAGTGGAATTACTATGGATCAAGCACCGGTCAAGCTCCGGGGGAGGATAGTGAGGGTGATCTTATTGTTAGCATTTGACGGCAATATTGTGTAAACTAAAAGCTGCAAATTGTTTTGCATTATAGTAGAGTTTCTAAGATCTCTCTGTGAAGAGTTTGAAGAGAAATGCAATGGTGGGGAGAGAGAGAAAGAGAGAGAGAAGGGAAATGCACATTCTTGTTTTGCTGTTCAACCATTCTACAGAGATTCTTAGGTAAGTCCTTTGCCAATTTTGAGCACCATCTTAAACAATTGAGTATATGTTTGACATTAAAATAGGCCTTTAAACAATTGAGTAAATTTTTTACATTAAAATAGGCCTTACGACAGTTGGACCGGGAGTCTAATCTATGACTTCTCCGTTTTGATCAAGTGCAAGGTTGTCCTGTTCATTTTGTTTGGTTGACAATTGACATGCTCTTCATCTCTTGTTGACAACAATGTTTGATGCTATGCGAGACAGAATGAATGAACAAAGCAGTAGTCATTGTTGTCGTTTCTTTTGATGACTAAATCAATCACTACCAATGCTAAGTCTATGTTGTGGACCTTGTGTGGAATTGGCTTCTCTTGTATCCACTCTTGTCTCAGATTTTTCTTGTTCTGTGACTTCAATTGGTCATACTGATTATTGCTGTGTTCGGTAGTCTTACTCTGCCATGGCGATATCTAATGGATATTTTCGCCAAAGCCGTTGGCAAGGGTAATTTGCAATTATGCGAAGTTTGTGAAAGAAGAAAATACTTCGATGTGATTGCCTTTTGATTGTGAGAGGAATGAATTGGGTGCACTGTCAAGATTCATGAGTTGATCATCCATTAGATCTAATGAAATATCATAACGACATGTTTGCTGATTGATTTTTGGTAAGGTGGCATTTCATTAATCTTTTAAACTGTTGCACTCTGCAGTATGCTTCCTTCTACTATGTAACTACTCTATGTTTTTTACTTGTTCTCAAGCTCTCTTTCGGGAGTGAGGGCTGAAAATAACATTGAAATGGTTCTAAAAGGAGAAGTATAATTATGCCACTGTTTTTAGTTCATCTTTCAAGGATAATGTGGCAGTGTCATTAGGGCAATCGATAAGACTCGCTATCTATGCTTCAAAAATGTAAGTTTTTCCTGCTTGAAACTAGTCTTCAAAAAGTGGTTTTCAACTTTTAGCGATGGCACTTGCTAAAGAGAACCTTTCTTTGAAGTACCCAATCTTTGACCAAAAAAAAGTATCCAGTCCATTCTTTCATCTTTTCAAAACTAAACTCTCATGCATACCAGAAGGCCAAGTCACACAAATAAAGCTCGTCATTTGAACTATCTTCCATGAGATTACGCTCCCAGGTTTTTTGTTTCAGTAGAAATGTCCATTACTCACACTGCTTTATTTTTCAGACTAGGCAGAAATAGCTCAGATTTTGGCACCGACGATACAATGCAAGAGGACGATCACAAAGAAATCACTGACCACCAGTCCCATGACAGCACACACATGGATTTCTCTCTTGCTAAAACAGAAGAAGAGTGGAAACATCACGATCTTTTCTAAGGTCAGGGTGAATGCTTTGAAGTCCAAGAACAATATTGTTACTGGCTCTCAAGTCTTCTCAACTTGGACGTCATGGCCTACGCCAATATGATAATTGCAGAATACAATCGGTATGTTTTAATGCCTAGAACCTCTAAGTGCGGTGCACAAATAGATGAACAATACTAGAACTATTTTTTACTGAGATAATAAGTTCACATTTTTTTTGTCAATCTACCATCAGAATAAATATGTCATATGCTTTATGCACATTCAACAAGTGACCTTTTTTTTTCTTTCAATTTCTACATTAGCAAATCTTGTTTAACATTTTAATGTTAATCTAACTATGAGATAGGTTCGAAGGTTCTGGCATAGATCTAGGCAGCAAATCAAGGGTATGAATGGCGACAATAACATATGTAGCGTTTTCCTTTTTATGTGCTACATGCTACTTATCTATTGATTCCTAAATAATCAGACGATCCCTAGACCTGTTGAGCACCTGTCTGAACTTCCCTAGTGGAACTAGGATGGATCAAGATTGATCAAGCTACAGGGGAGGATAGTGAAGTGACCTTAGAGTAAGCTAACATAAACCCAAAACTGTCATGCTATATTTACCTTCACATCATTCCATCAAGTTCTTGATTTTTTAACAGCCCTCAAGCAATTTTGAAGGATCATTTTGGAGGTGGGAACAATATCTTGGTAATCATCCACTGAACAAGTTTTATGTTGTCAAAAATTATTCATTTATAAGATGATTTGAACAGGTTAGTCAAGCGAGAAAGGACGTTTCAATTAGTTTATGGAGAATGCTTGTTTATCTGCAGGTAATTTGCGATTCATACACACCAGTTGGGGAGTCGATCCCAACAACCAAACGTGCCAGGATTGCGGAATTTTCAGGAACCCAAAGAATATCAATGAAGTTTCATGGTAGAAGATCCAAAAACATGAGTTTTCTATAGTGAATTATAAAGTTTTGAAATGGACAATTTCATGACTGTAGACTAAATGTTCACATTAGGTATGGGATTGAGCAAGAAAACACCCTACGGCATACAAATGTTCAATGGCCATTGGGTTGGCCTGTTGGAGGATATCCAGGTTTCCAGGTGAGAAATTGTTTCACAATGAATTTCCCTATATATTGATGGATTATAGGCTAAGTTGTTTTTATTGTGGTACGAGGTTTTATGTTCATTTAGGGGCCTTTTTACTGTGGTGTTGGGGTGGATAAGTCATTCGGCCAAGACATATCCAATGCTCACTAGAAGGCTTGCTTATATGCTGATATCAACATTAGTGGTGCCAATGGAGAGGTGATGCCAGGCCAGGTAATATCTGACCTCCATTTTGCATGGTTTTACAAAAGAAAAAAATGCATAGAACTGTTGCCATCAACACTGTCTTCTATCGTGCATTAAGAATACCAAGTGGGACCAAGCATGGGAATTGAAGCAGGGGATCATAAATGGTGTTCAAGATACCTTCTTGTTGTGAAATTTTTATTAGTTGCTCAAGAAAATAACGGAATGCCATTAATGGCTAACAGAATAAGTGCATATAGACATGTTCTACGGTATTCAAATTCTTAATTGTTTATTTTGCTTATATGACAGAGAATAACTGACCAAGCTGTTATTGTCCTCACGTTAGATCCGAAGCCGATAGAGGTAGCTGACTTCACTACCACTATTTAAGCAATATATTATCCCAAAGTTGATAAAAATATTCTCGTCCTTCTCAGGGTGACTAGAGTGGTGCACGATGCTACACTAACTACAGGTTCACACAAAAAAATAACATGGACTTGGTTAGGTATTTTTGTTCGTTGAATGACTTTTAAGAGTGTGTTCCCCATCTTTTCTGCAATACAAAAAGCATAAGAGAAGAGGGAGGCTTCGAAGTGATAAAGAAGGCTATTCTGAATCTCTCACTTCGCCATGAGGAGCACATTAGCGCCTTTGGAGAAGGAAATGAGAGAAGATTGACGGGAAAGCATGAAACCAATATCGACACATTTTCTTGGGTAATACTCAGAAGAAGCATACCAGCTGCTTATCAAATTTGAAGATTGCCCATTAAATTGAACTCAATTTTTTTTTGGTGATGCCTGAATTACTTGAATTTCGTTATGCAGGTAGTTGCCAATCACGGTTGCTCAATCCGTGTGGGCCATGACACTAAGGAGTAAGAAAAAGGTACCAGTTCCCTTCTGTGCTTTGACTGAGTATCAATCAAAGACCCTTAACTTTCACGGATGATTCAAGAAATGCTACCATAAAAAAATAGTACATAGAAAGTACTTACTATTCTTTTTAGTCTCAGTGGATTCTATGATTGTTACTATGAAAGAAATTTTAACTGTTATCACTCATAAAGCATTCCCCCAGTTTTCTTCCTAAACAAAGTAAATCTTCATATCAGTCA